CCAGCAGAGGTTCAAGAGAGTGATGATGTTTCTCCTCCGGTTCTCGTGACCACCCGTGCACAAGCCGCACGTCCACAGCCAGCCGACTCTACTGCTACCGCTGTCCCTCAAGACCCTCAGAAACTACCCCCGCATCTGACCAAGTTGGAGTTCCGTAAGTTGCAGAGGGAAGATCTTACTTTAACACCATTGTTTTTCCAGGCTGAGACTCAACCCGACAGTATTCCTGGGTTCTTCCTAGAGAACGACTTGCTCTACCGCAGATATAGACCCAGTAAACTGAAGGAGGAGGACGATTGGGCCAACACCGAACAACTTGTGATTCCCACCAGCCTGCGGCCCACTATTCTACACCTGGCCCATGGAGCATTCTCCCACTACGGCTTCAACAAGACTTACCATGGGATTCGCCAAGACTACTACTGGCCAGGTATGGTAAATAACGTCAAACAGTACGTAAAACAGTGTCATACATGTCAGATGGCAGGCAAACCGAACGTCTCCATTCCCAGAGCACCACTGATTCCCATACAGGTGCCTGCGGAACCTTTCCACAGACTCATAATAGACTGTGTCGGTCCTTTACCTCGGACCAGTTCAGGTAACGCCTACATCCTAACCATCCTGTGTCCTACCACCAGATTTCCATAGCAGTTCCAGTGAAGAACATCACGGCTGCTACGGTTATCAAACATCTACTGAAGATCTTCACTCAATACGGATTTCCCAGGGAGATTCAAAGTGACTGTGGCACCAACTTCACCAGTGATCTCTTCAAAAGAACACTGGAGGAGTTCAACATCAAACAGGTATTGTCCAGCCCCTATCATCCTGCTTCACAGGGTCCTCTTGAACGTAGTCATCAGACCATCAAAGCACTCTTGAAAAAGTTTTGTAGTGAAACCTCAAAGGATTGGGATAAGCAGATTGACCTAATAATGTGTATTTTCAGAAGTCTCCCCAATGAGTCCCTAGGAGTATCTCCTTATGAGATGCTCTACGGCCGTAAGTGCCGTACTCCCCTTAAGGCTTTCAAAGACTCTCTCAGAGATGCCACCTTCAGTGAGCATCAGAATGTGCCCCAGTTTCTTCAAAACCTTCAACACATTCTAGAGAGAGTCCACCGCTTTGCCCATGATAATCTATTGAAAGCCCAGGTGAGAATGAAGACTCATTACGACCAGACCAGCAAAGTAAGAAAATTCAAGCCGGGAGACTTCGTCCTTGCTTATTTCCCTATCCCAGGTTCACCTTTACAAAACAGATTTTCAGGACCCTACTGCGTCAAAGAGTGCAGGAATAATAATAATTATGTGATAGAGACTCCAGATAGGCGGCGGAAGACCCAGCTGTGCCACGTCAACCTCCTGAAGCAATATAATGGTACTCCTCCCACTGTCTTGATTAATTGTTCTACCTTCACAGAACCCTACATCCACAGTGAGACCATCCCGGCTTCTTCTCCCGAAAGCACTGACAAGGAGTCGGCGCTTTCTAATTCCAAAATCCTTCATGATCTTCCCAAATGCTTTCAGGATAATAATCGTGCTCCTATGCCCTCTTCTAATTCCACTCTCACCTCGTCAGATAAGCCCTTCATCCTCCATGTCGACGCCAATGGTACCGACGTGGGTGGTGTCGTGATGCAGCAACGAGGCGAGAAGAATACACCTGTCAGCGACTACTGCTACAAGGAACGACGGAACAATTGGCAAGGAGCTACTCTTCCTCATCCTGAAGCTTCAGCACTTCACTCCACACCTGAAAAGTGCTCGGTCCACCATCAATACGGACCACACCACCCTACACCTCCTGCAGCACGCCCACTTCTCATCTCAACGTCTTCTACTATGGGCTTGCTACCTGCAGAAATTCAACCTGGAGACACGCTATACCAAGAGTCTGACAACATCTTAGCCCATGATCTCTCCAGAGTTTATGAAGTAGAAGCAACTCCATCCATTACTCCACCACATAACGACGTACTTCTTCCAGAACCGCAGGCTTCGGGGGAGAGTTGTGACGATAATCTCCTTCAAGAGATTGAGCCTGCTCTTCCCTTCATAATTACGTCTTCACAACTATATAAAAGACTATGGAAGAAATGTCCAACAACGACAACAACACCAGCACCAGCAAGGCTTGCCAGGGTGAGCAGAAACGTATGCAACCAGCCACCTGTTCGAACTCCAACCACCAAACTACCCGTTGATCGCTACGGCTCCGCTGATTGGTCGCCGGTCTGGCTGCACCTGCACTCGCCCCCCAATACTACCCGATGTCTGGGGTCGCCCCAACATCAGTCTTCAGAATGTTCCGTGCTTTCGTAGCCAGCACTCCTCCCAGCTAGACTCTAGCGTGTACTGAGAGAGGTGGTGGCTTTAAGCCAATATTCCAGCACCTCCCATTTACTGTTGTATTGCACTTCTTGTTATTTTGCCTTAACGTAACTTTTCATTTTGTCATTTAAGAATTCTTATTATTTTGATTCATTGATTTTATTATAAGAATTTGTTTGTGCATTATTTTCATGTTTTGATTTATTTAACGTCATTAAAATTTCATTGTTAAAGTTTTACTTGTGTTTTGTGTGTCTTCTCCTTACCTTACCACAGACGAAGTTCCAGTTTTTCTATTTTTTTTATAACTATGTGACGAGGCCATACCCCTAGCCTTAAACAGCCGAACACCAACGCGTTACCGTCACAGTTCAAATGGGACAAGTCCAGAATGAACCGAAGGTCCATGCAGTCCCATTTCGGGACTGGAAACAGGTAGGGAACCCACCTGAGGGATGAGGTCTTTTTGACCACGCCCAAGCGAACCCACTCCAAAATGACCTGACAGAGCGCAGGAGAAGAGGCCTGCCCTGTCAGCCCCAAACCCTCTGAGGGAGGAGGAAACAGGCCACCCAACGCCATCACTGGCCACACAAAACGACCCGAAAGAAGCACAAATCGTGGGACCAACCTCACGGCTGGGTGGACAGCGCTTCAGATTCGTAGTCCTGAAGTTCCGGGTTTGATCCCCAGTGGAGGCGGAGACAAATGGGCAAAATGTTTCTTTCACTCTGATGCCCCTGTTACCTAGCAGTAAATAGGTACCTGGGAGTTAGATGGCTGCTACGGGCTGCTTCCTGGTGATGTGTAACAAAAAGGAGGCCTGGTCGAGGACTGGGCCGCGGGGATGCTAAGCCCCGAAATCATCTCAAGATAACCAGGCGCAAGCAAACAGGGCGAGCCTACTTCCCATCGCCCCGTCAATGGGACGAACTGTGAAAGGGCCAATGCACCTTCTGAGAACCTGAGTGGCGAACAGGGTGATCCCCGCGCCGACCAGAAACAGACGGAACCAAAGGCTGCGCCTGCCCCGAATCTGGCACCACTGGCCTACCATGACGAACAGAACCCCGAGCCCTGGCACGACCCTTCTGGGAAAGCACCCCACGAGCCCTCAGGAGCACCAACAAGTCAAACATAGGTCGACAACTAACCAAAGCCGTCTGCAGGTACTGCACCACCGCAGACTCTGCAAACAGCAAAGGACAAAAAGGTGAAGACAATTGAAGAGCCAGGGCCCCAAGTGGATTCCAAGGAAGAAGCAAGCACCGCCTGCAGACATGTGAGGCGAGAAGCACAGAACCGCGAAATCGCATCATGCAGGAGTGCCATGAAGAGCTTCATCAAAGCAGACGATGCCTGCACCATAAAGGGCAGCACCCCAGACCCGGCAGTGGCCCCTAGCTCCCCCACATCCAACTCAAGCCAATCCGAGGACAGCTCAAGGAGGGAAAAGAACCGCAGGGCCGAAGCAAGCAGGCCACGAGTATGCAAATCCTCCGCAACCAAGGCAGCCGAAAGGGAAGGTAGCTGCACGTGAAGCTGCACGACACCAACATCCCGCGGAAGGGCAAGGGCAAACAAACAAGCATTGAGGTGGTTGAAGTCGCCCCCCCCAGGAAAACCTGAAATGCCGTCTGAGTCTCCAGCCAGTCAAGAGTGCGGGACCGACAGAACGTGTGCCAAGCCTCTAACGAAAAAAAGGGAGTCTATCAACCAGGAGGACTCCAGAACTTCATAATGAACCAAGTATGGACAGGACGAACTGTACACAAAGGAACGCGGATCCATCATGAAAGCATAATCCGGGTCGTGCAGGAGGTAAGCCACAAGGGCTTCCCACACCTTAGAAGATGAAATGCAGGAAGCCAAAAACCTCCGGAAAGACAGAACCGAGGAACCCGTGGGATCACGGAACCGAACCCGGGGATGGGTAGACACCAAATCCAATTCGTACGCGGAGAGAGTGAAAGAGAACCCCCTCTCCTTATAACACTAAGCCCCTCTCTGCAGGCAGAAAATCCCAATGGGCCCAAGGCCCCCCCCAAGTCAACCTCTCCCTGAGGACCCGGGGCCGAGCCGGCCTCCAAACCCCCACTTCTAAAGAAAGAGCGGGAGCCGCCAAAAAAGCAGGAACGAAGGGGGCCCACTGGCTAGAACCAGAAGCTCTGGCTGAAGGACCAGGCTGAAATGTCTTCGCCACAACTCCAGAAGGGGACACCCCCGAGACCGCCCGAGTCTCAACGCCAACTAGACCCTGCCCCGACTCCAAAACCTCAGACGCTTCGAAGCCAGAAGCAAGGGAGGGGGGGAATCGAATGAACAACAGGGGAAGGACTAGGAGGGGCGACACCGAGTGCCAGAACTGCACTCGGTGCTGTTCCGCAAGCCGTGATTAAATTCGTTAACCAAGGTTCCTCTGTATAGTAGCTTCAGGGAGCCACAAGAGGCTCATCCCCCCCCCCTATCAGAAAAGTTAATTTAAAGAAATTATTTTTAAAATGTTGTACTGGGTTTTTAATTTTTATTCTTATTTTCATTGTATAAATAAAGTACTAATGTAGTGTATGTTGTCTTTTTTTTAAGTTTTTATTCTTTCTTATTTTTGTTTCTTTATGTGCCACCTAATATGTTCTTTATTTATTTTATTTTTTTATACAGAGCATGACAAATTACCTGCATATGCTTGGACCTACAAACCCCTTGAGGAAGATGATGCCACTCCACCAAATGCAAAGTTATAATATTTGTATATACTGTACTGTGTAACAGTTGGATATTGATATCTCCTGATAGTTAATAACAGGTCAGTTTTCTACAGAAATGGTATTACTGTACCCATTTTTTCAATTGCCATTTTCTGTGGGGAGCCCGTTCAGCTCCCTGGAGTTATAGGACTTATATACGCTATATTAGTCTGGGGCTTCAGTCAATGGAGTCCTGCCTACTGAGAACCAGAGCCGGAACCTGGACCCCCCTCAGAGAGGCACAGAGAAAATTGGCTTAAGGAGACCCCCTCGTCCCCTTGTATTTGGGGGTATTCCTTGTCTAGCATCGACCGGGGTTAGGCACCCAGAAAGGTAGGCATCTCAAAACAAACCCCACATGGTAGGAAATTGCAAAAAAAAAACAAAAAAAAAAAGACCGAACAGAGAATCAGAACGCCCCAAAGGAAAACAAGGGAAACAAAGCATCCGTCACTCACTCCCACCATGCTGCTTGTCCACGCAGCCCTCCTCTTCCCGGGAGGGGGATGGGGGAGCCCCAGACCTACACATCGGCTACTCACACCTCAGTTCGTGGCTGAAGTGCTCTGGGACAGAGGTTTACTCTGGCCACAGATTCTTGCTGGATTTTGTGCCCTTGTTGTGTTTCCTGCTGTTTGTAGCATGTTGGCCAGAGGTAACATAGTGTACTGAGGGCTGCATGCTGAGGAAGTGTTGTTGCTGGTTTGGGGCGCAAGGTGCTGCACAACATGCCTACCGACGAGGCAGTTGTGTTTCCTGTTCCTCCTGTTGTGGTTGTGCTTTTGTGGAGTTTTTTCTTTTTGTTTATTGCTTGGAGGAGGTCTGCCTGGTTTGACTATTAGTCCCAGTAAGGTATTTTGGTGGCCCTCCTCTAAGCCCCCGTGCTTGTACACCTCTCAGGGGTTCAGTTATAGCCTTATTCCCTCTGGTTGACATACAAGAGCTCAACTGGCTTTGCAGCACCGTTGCCTGGGCTCCCTGTAGGCTGATCCCCTTAAGGGCCCCCCTGGAAAACCCCGTCGGGGATTGCCCGACCAATGGATGCATCTTCCAAGTCCCATCTCCCCTTGTGCAAGGCTGAAGGTTGTTCGTTACCCTTGTTTCAAGGTGACGGTCAACTTGTTTGCCTTGTCATGCTGCCTGTTGGGTCGGTGACACCTACAACCCGGAGTCTTGCGAAACGTGTTCCCAGCTCGTACTCCAATTTACCTGTTCTTCTTCGGAAATTCTTAGGCGCCAGGCGGCGTCTGTGTTGCATTGTCGGTTTTGGTTGTTGCAATGAGCTAGGTTGGTTGCCTAGCAACGTTTTGGTTGGGTCAGACTTGGGGGCCTTGGTCACTATGGTATTGGTTCAGTGTGCACCCCTTGGTCCTTCCCCTGCCATTGTGGTTCCTCTACCCTACCCCCCTTCGCCCTCTGCTGCCAGCTTCCTACTGTCTGAGGGTTTCAGAGTCAAGGCGGGGTTTAGTTGGGGACGAGACTCGGGCGGCTCCGGGGGCTGCCCCATTAATTGCAGGGATGGAGGCCTTTGAGCCTGCTCCTCCCCCGAGGATTCTAGGCCTTACCAGCAGGCTTCCTTTTGTTGCCTTTCCCTTGGACTCTGCCTTTCTTCTAGGGTGGTGGGCGTGGAGGGCGGCTCTGCCCCAGGGCCTCTGTCAGGGGGTTCTGGGGGCTGTGGGGGGAGTCCACTCACTGTTCTGGGGCTGTTTGCCTCTGCTTGGGCCTTGTGCCATCTGGGCAGGGGGAGGGGGTTTTGTCCTTCCTTCCTTCCTGCTTTGTTTTCCCCCATTTGCTGATGTGATTTCCATTTTTCGTCGGATGATTCTCCTTTTGTTTTGGTGGCAATTTTGCTTTTCGGTGGGCGCTTCCCCTCCTGGCCACCAGGGCAGCATTTGCGGTTTGTTTATATGTGACTGCTGGGCATGTGAGCTCGCAGTTTGGAGGCATTTTTTCGCCTCTGCTATCCCCCCTTTGCCGTTTCTCTGTTTTGTTCTTTCTATAGGGGCTTCCTGCCCTGTTTGTTCCTCTGGGAACGTTTTTTTTTTTTTTCACCCGGTCTTGTGTTTTCTGTGTTTGGGTTCTGGGCCCTTGGTTTTGGGCCAGGTGTGTGTGCCCTGTGTGCTCCTCTGGCTCCCACACATACAGCCCTCGATTTTCTATCCATTTTCTGGCAATTTTCGCCAGGAGTTTGGTCAGGGACATGTGTCTGGCCTTTTCTTTCTATGGTGTGTTTTCCGCCATTCATTTCCGGGTTCCTTTGAGTTCTTCGGTTGCATTCCAGAGGATTTTTCTCCCTCTCGGGTTTTCCCTGTGGAGGTTCGGGAGCCCCCTTGGTGTTTTCCTCCTGTGCGACCCGGAATTTGCCCCTCTTGACTTGGCCTCTTTTGCGTTCAGGTCCTCGTCCCCATTTTGGGTGCGTTAAGGGGTTCCTGGTCTTGTAAGTCTTCCTTGCTTGCAGACTACTATTCTTCTTGGGGCTTTGGTGGTCGTGCCAGGGCTCCAGCTTATGCTCGTCGAGGTGGGCCTTTGCTGCCTGCTTTTGTAGCAGTTCCTTGTCTGGGGCCCTCTTTGCTTGGTCGGCGTAGTGCTCGCTCTGCTTACTTGTCGACTTCCCGGATGGGGGGCCGGCCCTATCGCAGGTCACCCTGTTGACAGGGTGATAGGGGGTGAGGCTAACTCTGTTTGCCTACGCTTGGTCCTACGATTTGTGGGGGTTTTGGGTCATGTCTTCTGGCCTGTGGGTGGCATTGGGTGGCTCCTCCTCCCAGAGACTCGGGGCTGGCGTAGTGGGCTTCTTCCCTGCACCCCGTTGGGTCATCTTCGAGTGGGTGTGCCTGGGCATGGTGAAAACGACCTCGTCCCTCAGGTGGGTTTCCCGCTTGTTCCCGTGCCATCATGGGACTGTGCGGATCTTTGGTTCTTCTGGACTTGTCCCGTCTGGTCTACGGTCGTGCTAGATTCCTTGTCCTTCCTTTTGGATGACCTCTCTATTCCAGATCTGGCTTCTTCTGGAGCCGGGTTGTTGGATGGCTCTCAGGGATGCGTATTGGCACGTCCCGCTTCATCATGGGTTCAGGGACTGGTTAGGGTTCATAGTGGGGCGGCATGCATCTTGTTTTCATTGCCACCCTCTTGGCCTACCTCAATGACTAGTTGGTGTGGGACCCAGCCAGTCAAGCTTGTCTGCTGTAAATTATTTCTGATCTCGCAGTGCAGCCTTTTCTCGGGTAAGTCCCTCTTTTTAGCTTATCTTTGGTTATGTAGCTCCAGGTGAGCTGGGAGAAGTCCCCTCAGGTTCCATTCCAGCTTTGAATGTACAGTAATGAAATGCTATTTCTGGTGAGCCCTGGAGGCTCCCTGGCACCCCCCTTCCTAAGGTGTAGCTATGGTTTCAATTTTGCTCAGCCTCCGAACTAAGGTATGAGTAGCCGGCTTGTAGGTCCGGCATGCTCTCCTCCCTCTCCCGGGAGGGCTGCGCAGACAAACAGCACGGCGGCGGTGAATAACGATTTCTTGTTTGCTTGTTTCCTTTGTTTTCCTTTGGGAGTTGTGTTTCTCTGTTCGGTCTTGGGTTTTTGCAATTTCCTACCATGTGGGGTTTATTTTCAGATGCCTACCCTTCTAGGTGCCTAACCCCAGTCGATGGCAGATGAGTGAATACCCCCAGGGGTCTAGGTCTCCTTAGCTCATGCTCCCTGTGCCTCTGCAGAACTCCAGGTTAAGCTGAAGCCCCAGTACTGATATCATTGACTGATGCCCCAGACTAATAGTGTATATATCAGTCCGAGAGCTCCAGGAAGCCTCCGGGGCTCACCCAGAAAATGGCATTTCATTACATTCAACGCTGGGTTTTTTGTGTTGTATTGAGTGCGAATGGTCTCGCTGTTATGCCAATAATAAAATTTCTGTCAATCAGTCACTTGGTTCTGCTTGTTGATATATACTGTACTAAACTTGAGTGTTTGGACTGAAATTATCATCATTGCATAATACCCATGTAAATATGAATAAAATCTACATTAAACCTCCATACTAAAGTTTGTAGATACCTTAAGTGCTTCTGGGTGTGGAGATCAGTTGTATTAAATATTGTAGAGTATATGGCATTGGAACTTGCAATGTTATGCCTCCTCAAGAGTTTCAGCCTGTGGTGAGGGAGCTCATGTATCACTCCCTTTGGCTGATGGGGAATTGCCTCGTCACCATCTTCTGCTCCTCACCAGGCATTGTACGTGCAAAATGAAACAAAAGTTGGGGTCCTATGAAAATCATCGAATCCCCTTGTTAGAGGGATCGCCAATGAAGGCTTGCCCATGGGGGTAGGTTGGGGAGAGGAGAGGGGTTATTGCACTGGTGTGACAGAATGTGCAATGCAGTAAGAATCCCCTGTAAAAAAAGGGGGGTGAGCACAGCTAGGGATGAAGCAGTCTTTTCTGCATGACCAGTGTTCAGCCTCTCTTTCCTCCCTGGTAGGTAGCATTCCTTGACTCCAGGAGCCCAAACTTTTGACAAAAATATGCACATGAAAAATGCACAGACTTGTGGGGCTGGGGATCAGACTCCAGAGTCAGACAGTGATGGAAGGTTGGGTTGCATTGGGTCCAGACCTGGCTTCATCTTTGGTTCACTCAACTGATCCTCTCAATTGCCCTCCCATTTCCTCGGCAAGGTTAATCCCCCAAGTCCCCAGTGGTGACTACCTTGTCACCTGATGTGGCTTCATCTTTGGTTGTTACAACTGTGCTTTCTGGAGGGAGCTCCGTTAGCTCCGTCAGCACAGGAGGAGACAACAGAGCACAGGAGGAGACAACAGAGCACAGGAGGAGACAACAGAGCACAGGAGGAGACAACAGAGCACAGGAGGAGACAACAGAGCACAGGAGGAGACAACAGAGCACAGGAGACAACAGAGCACAGGAGGAGACAACAGAGCACAGGGGGAGACAACAGAGCACAGGAGGAGACAACAGAGCACAGGGGGAAAAACAGAGCACAGGAGACAACAGAGCACAGTAGGAGACAATAGAGCACAGGAGGAGACAATAGAGCACAGGGGGAGACAACAGAGCACAGGGGGAGACAACAGGGCACAGGAGACAACAGAGCACAGGGGGAGACAACAGAGCACAGGGGGGAGACAACAGAGCACAGTAGGAGACAACAGAGCACAGGGGGAAAAACAGAGCACAGGAGGAGACAACAGAGCACAGGAGGAGACAACAGAGCACAGGGGGAGACAACAGAGCACAGGGGGAGACAACAGAGCACAGGGGGAGACAACAGAGCACAGGGGGAGACAACAGAGCACAGGAGGAAACAACAGAGCACAGGAGGAAACAACAGAGCACAGGAGGAAACAACAGAGCACAGGAGGAAACAACAGAGCACAGGAGACAACAGAGCACAGGGGGAGACAACAGAGCACAGGGGGAGACAACAGAGCACAGGGGGAGACAACAGAGCACATGAGGAGACAACAGAGCACAGGAGGAGACAACAGAGCACAGGAGGAGACAACAGAGCACAGGAGGAGACAACAGAGCACAGGAGACAACAGAGCACAGGAGACAACAGAGCACAAAAAGAGACAACAGAGCACAGGAGGAGACAACAGAGCACAGGAGACAACAGAGCACAGGAGACAACAGAACACAGGAGGAGACAACAGAGCACAGGAGGAGACAACAGAGCACAGGAGGAGACAACAGAGCACAGGAGACAACAGAGCACAGGAGGAGACAACAGAGCACAGGAGACAACAGAGCACAGGAGACAACAGAACACAGGAGACAACAGAACACAGGGGGAGACAACAGAGCACAGGAGAAGACAACAGAGCACAGGAGGAGACAATAGAGCACAGGGGGAGACAACAGAGCACAGGAGACAACAGAGCACAGGAGGAGACAACAGAACACAGGAGGAGACAACAGAGCACAGGAGGAGACAACAGAGCACAGGAGGAGACAACAGAGCACAGGAGAAGACAACAGAGCACAGGAGGAGACAACAGAGCACAGGAGACAACAGAGCACAGGGGGAGACAACAGAGCACAGGAGAAGACAACAGAGCACAGGAGACAACAGAGCACAGGAGACAACAGAGCACAGGAGGAGACAACAGAGCACAGGAGGAGACAACAGAGCACAGGAGGAGACAACAGAGCACAGGAGGAGACAACAGAGCACAGGAGACAACAGAGCACAGGAGACAACAGAGCACAGGAGGAGACAACAGAACACAGGGGGAGACAACAGAACACAGGGGGAGACAACAGAGCACAGTAGGAGACAACAGAGCACAGTAGGAGACAACAGAGCACAGGAGACAACAGAGCACAGGAGGAGACAACAGAGCACAGGAGGAGACAATAGAGCACAGGAGACAACAGAGCACAGGGAGAGACAACAGAGCACAGGGGAGACAACAGAGCACAGTAGGAGACAATAGAGCACAGGAGGAGACAACAGAGCAAAGGGGGAGACAACAGAGCACAGGAGACAACAGAACACAGGAGGAGACAACAGAGCACAGTAGGAGACACTAGAGCACAGGAGGAGACAACAGAGCACAGGGAGAGACAACAGAGCACAGGAGGAGACAACAGAGCACAGTAGGAGACAACAGAGCACAGAGGAAGACAACAGAGCACAGGGGGAGACAACAGAGCACAGGGGGAGGCAACAGAGCACAGAGGGAGACAACAGAGCACAGGGGGAGACAACAGAGCACAGGGGGAGACAACAGAGCACATGAGGAGACAACAAAGCACAGGGGGAGACAACAGAGCACAAGGGGAGACAACAGAGCACAGGGGGAGACAACAGAGCACAGGAGACAACAGAGCACAGGGGGAGACAACAGAGCACAGGAGACAACAGAGCACAGGGGAAGACAACAGAGCACAGGGGGAGACAACAGAGCACAGGGGGAGACAACAGAGCACAGGGGGAGACAACAGAGCACAGGGGGAGACAACAGAGCACAGGGGAGACAACAGAGCACAGGGGGAGACAACAGAGCACAGGGGGAGACAACAGAGCACAGGGGGAGACAACAGAGCACAGGAGACAACAGAGCACAGGGGGAGACAACAGAGCACAGGGGGAGACAACAGAGCACAGGGGGAGACAACAGAGCACAGGGGGGAGACAACAGAGCACAGGGGGAGACAACAGAGCACAGGGGGAGACAACAGAGCACAGGGGGAGACAACAGAGCACAAGAGGAGACAACAGAGCACAGTAGGAGACAACAGAGCACAGTAGGAGACAACAGAGCACAGGGGGAAACAACAGAGCACAGGGGGAGACAACAGAGCACAGGGGGAGACAACAGAGCACAGGGGGAGACAACAGAGCACAGGAGGAGACAACAGAGCACAGGGGGAGACAACAGAGCACAGGGGGAGACAACAGAGCACAGGGGGAGACAACAGAGCACAGGGGGAGACAACAGAGCACAGGGGGAGACAACAGAGCACAGGGGGAGACAACAGAGCACAGGGGGAGACAACAGAGCACAGGGGGAGACAACAGAGCACAGGGGGAGACAACAGAGCACAGTAGGAGACAACAGAGCACAGGAGGAGACAACAGAGCACAAGAGGAGACAACAGAGCACAGGGGGAGACAACAGAGCACAGGAGACAACAGAGCACAGGGGGAGACAACAGAGCACAGGGGGAGACAACAGATCACAGGGGGAGACAACAGAGCACAGGGGAGACAACAGACCACAGGGGGAGACAACAGAGCACAGGGGGAGACAACAGAGCACAAGAGGAGACAACAGAGCACAGGGGGAGACAACAGAGCACAGGAGACAACAGAGCACAGGGGGAGACAACAGAGCACAGGGGGAGACAACAGAGCACAGGGGGAGACAACAGAGCACAGGGGAGACAACAGACCACAGGGGGAGACAACAGAGCACAGGGGGAGACAACAGAGCACAGTAGGAGACAACAGAGCACAGGAGACAACAGAGCACAAGAGGAGACAACAGAGCACAGGGGGAGACAACAGAGCACAGGGGGAGACAACAGAGCACAGGAGACAACAGAGCACAGGGGGAGACAACAGAACACAGGGGGAGACAACAGAACACAGGGGGAGACAACAGAGCACAAGAGGAGACAACAGAGCACAGTAGGAGACAACAGAGCACAGGAGACAACAGAGCACAAGAGGAGACAACAGAGCACAGGAGACAACAGAGCACAGGGGGAGACAACAGAGCACAAGAGGAGACAACAGAGCACAGTAGGAGACAACAGAGCACAGTAGGAGACAACAGAGCACAAGAGGAGACAACAGAACACAGGAGGAGACAACAGAACACAGGAGGAGACAACAGAGCACAGGAGGAGACAACAGAGCACAGGAGGAGACAACAGAGCACAGGAGGAGACAACAGAGCACAGGGGAGACAACAGAGCACAGGGGGAGACAACAGAGCACAGGGGGAGACAACAGAGCACAGGGGGAGACAACAGAGCACAGGGGGAGACAACAGAGCACAGGAGGAGACAACAGAGCACAGGAGGAGACAACAGAGCACAGGGGGAGACAACAGAGCACAGGGGGAGACAACAGATCACAGGATGAGACAACAGAACACAAGAGGAGACAACAGAGCACAGGAGACAACTGAGCACAAGAGGAGACAACAGAGCACAAGAGGAGACAACAGAGCACAAGAGGAGACAACAGAGCACAGGAGACAATAGAGCACATAAGGATACAATAGAGCACATAAGGATACAATAGAGCACAAGAGGATACAAGAGAGCACAAGAGGAGACAACAGAGCACAAGAGGAGACAACAGAGCACAAGAGGAGAGGTTAGGTTAAGTTAGGTTAGGTTAGGTTAAGTTAGGTTAGGTTAGGTTAAGTTAGGTTAGGTTAGGTTAAGTTAGGTTAGGTTAGGTTAGGTTAAGTTAGGCTAGGTTAGGTTAAGTTAGGTTAGGTTAGGTTAGGTTAGGTTAGGTTAAGTTAGGTTAAGTTAGGTTAGGTTAGGTTAGGTTAGGTTAGGTTAAGTTAGGTTAGGTTAGGTTAGGTTAGGTTAGGTTAGGTTAGGTTAGGTTAGGTTAGGTTAGGTTAAGTTAGGTTAGGTTAGGTTAGGTTAGGTTAGGTTAGGTTAGGTTAGGTTAGGTTAGGCTAGGTTAGGCTAGGTTAGGTTAGGTTAGGTTGGGTTAGGTTAGGTTAGGTTAGGTTAGGTTAGGTTAAGTTAGGTTAGGTTAAGTTAGGTTAGGTTAGGTTAGGTTAGCTTAGGTTAGGTTAGGTTAGGTTAGGTTAGGTTAGGTTAGGTTAGGTTAGGTTAGGTTAGGTTAAGTTAGGTTAGGTTAGGTTAGGTTAGGTTAGGTTAGTCTTAGGTTAGGTTAAGTTAGGTTAGGTTAGGCTAATCTTAGGTTAGGTTAAGTTAGGTTAGGTTAGGTTAATCTTAGGTTAGGTTAGGTTAGGTTAGGTTAGGTTAGGTTAGGTTAGGTTAGGTTAAGCTTAGGTTAGGTTAGGTTAGGTTAGGTTAAGTTAGGTTAGGTTAGGTTAGGTTAAGTTAGGTTAGGCTAGGTTAGGTTAAGTTAGGTTAGGTTAGATTAAGTTAGGTAGGTTAAATTAGATTAAGTTAGGTTAGGTTTGGTTAGGTTAAGTTAGGTTAGGTTAAGTTAGGTTAGGTTAAGTTAGGTTAGGTTAGGTTAAGTTAGGTTAGGTTAGGTTAGGTTAGGTTAGGTTAGGTTAAGTTAGGTTAGGTTAGGTTAGGTTAGGTTAGGTTAGGTTAGGTTAGGTTAGGTTAGGTTAAGTTAGGCTAGGTTAGGTTAGGTTAGGTTAGGTTAGGTTAGGTTAGGTTAAGTTAGGTTAGGTTAAGTTAGGTTAGGTTAAGTTTAGGTTAGGTTAAGTTAGGTTAGGTTAGGTTAGGTTAGGTTAAGTTAGGTTAAGTTAGGTTAGGTTAGGTTAGGTTAGGTTAGGTTAAGTTAGGTTAGGTTAAGTTAGGTTAGGTTAAGTTTAGGTTAGGTTAAGTTAGGTTAGGTTAAGTTAGGTTAGGTTAGGTTAGGTTAAGTTAGGTTGGGTTTGGTTCTTCAGTTACATTTCCAATTTTTAAGAATACCATTTGGTTAGGTTAGGTTAGGTTAGGTTAAGTTAGGTTAAGTTAGGTTAGGTTAAGTTAGGTTAAGTTAGGTTAGGTTAGGTTAGGTTAGGTTAAGTTAGGTTGCATACAGCTGGTCCTGCACACAGGAAGGTCTTGTCCATCTAGCATACAGCTGGTTCCTGCACATGTGAGGTTGTAACTTTTCCTGGGACAAAAGTTGGTGCCGGGTTGAGTGGCCACAGTTCTGGCCGCCCCTGCTGCTGCTGCCACAGTCCTCACCACCACTACTGCTTCTTGCACTTCTTGCCCTTCTTACCCTTCTTACACTTCTTATGGTCGTCGTCGTCGTCACTGCTGTAGGCGGGGAGGGAGTCGGTGTTGGGGGGCATCATCTGGATACACGCAGCACGGACACAGGTCAGGAAGGTCTTCATCTGTGGGAGAGATTTATTTTAATATACTGAAAACGTTAGAGGATGTTGATCCGGATTTTCTGATCAGGGGAAAAAAGACACCGACAGTATGGGGACTTATTTATTACGTAGTAGAAGTACAAGTAAATTAATTTCCGCAGGACATGTAAATGAGGCGGCTATAAGTAAGACTTAACAAATGTAACATGTCCATGTCTAACTGAGTACAACCAACCAACTTAATATGCACACCCGTAATAAAATAAGAGTATGCTTATAGCCTAGTAACACGGTAAACGAAATCTGCAGAAACCTAATATCTTATCTGGTACTAGAAGTAAGGCAAGTATACAAATGTAACCTAATTATATAACACTATGTATAACAGGCAGGACACAAAGAGTAAATATAAAGTGATTAAACCACATAACACTTAATGAAGCCCGACCAAGAGGCCTGAAAAATATAATGGTAAATCCAAGCTGAATTAAATGGAAATTAATCAGGTGTGCAGAAAATACCTAGAGATTGGGGAAAAATCTGATATGACAATGGATGATAAATTTAACACCAGGGCGTGAGGCCGTGCCGCCAAGGAAAGGAGATAAGGATTTCCTGACTAACGGTAGGGCTTACTAGCACCTAGACTGGCTGTAAAGGCAAAGTATTAGCTGCGGACAGCGGAACACCTGGGGACCGGCGCTGCACCCCCGCTCCCCACTTTGCAGCAGGAGTAGAGACAGGAGGGACAACTGGCGCGAAGCATGACAGGGAAAAACAGACACTTGAATGAAGGGGGAGGCGGGCGGGAGTTTCGAGTGCAGCGATCCGAAGCGGGAACAAAGCGAGAGCAGAACCCCTCTTTACCCGACTATTTATATACTACCCGGTAGCGTCCGCGCTGCGCCTGCGGAACGCGATGCGCAATTGTCTCTTTTTTTTTCCCCGTCAGAAACAGCACCGCTTTTCTGCGAAAAGCAGTGACCATATTTTCTTCACAAGGTCAGATGTAACACAAACAAGGAGCAACGGAACAAATTCACAAGGGCCGTTACAAGGATTTGAGCCTGCGTCTGAGAGCATCCCAGACGCTGCCTTAATCGACTGAGCTACGACATGGTCAAAGGAGTTCAACTCTTTTCACCATATCGTAACTCAGTTGATTACGGCAGCGTCTGGGATGCTCTCGGACGCAGGTTCGAATCCTCGTCATGGCACTTGTGGATTTGTTGAATTGATGCATCACGTTATTGTGATTTCTGTGTGTAAGGAGCAACGATTTCAAGCTCAACAAGCCACAATGTAACACTGAGAACAGGAGATGCTTTTTCACCCACAAGGTTATTAACCCATGGAACCGCCTACCTGCCAAAACTGTTCTGAATTTCAAAATATACCTGGAAAAGATCATCAATTCAAATAGGGGGACCTTCGACCAGCCGCCGGCTTCCTGTCCTCGATTGATTTATTAAGATTAAGCCACCCAAAAGGTGGCACGGGCATGAATAGCCCGTAAGTGGTGGCCCTTTTGAGCATTACCAGTATCAATAGATAATACTGAAGATCTGAGGAGGTGCGACTGCACCCTGCGTGACGGGAGATGTCTCCCGTCTCCTGTCCTCGTGTAAATCAGGTATAATATAGACAGAAAGGATACAAGTGAGATGGAAAACAATGTATTTGGTTCATGAAGATACGAACAAGACAACAAGGGCCATTGACCAATGGTTGTTAGTGCCAGGCACCAACAGTACTAACTAATGACATATTAATGAGATAACTGTGTAATAATTATCTCAGTTTGTTTATATTGATCAATTAAATATGGATCCTGATTATACAAACCATTACCAATTGTTAATATTTTATGGCTCTGTGATTCGTACTAAAGCAGATTCAATAATGTTTCTGATAAAATTATTTCACACTTAGTTATTGAAGAAGACCTCTCCCAATTATTTTGGCGAGAATATTCTGACAAAAGAATAAATAAAGCATAAAATTGTTGACCATTTTATACAGAATATTTATGCTGAAAAATTCAAAATTTCACATCTATGGATGTTTGACCTATATATATTAGTCTTTGCAAGGTATTTTGTAAATGACGCAGATATCACTACAAATGCTGTATCTTACTAATAATTTTCCAACTGTATTTTCATAATTTACATATTTATATATTTATTGTTCGAGAGCTGAACTATATATGGATTATATAATAAAGTTATAACTCACAGCTGTTTATTTCTGCTAGGTGACGAGAGGCATTAGGTGCAGAGGTATAATAGGTAGAGTGAGGGGGGGAAACAGGAGACCCACCTGCATGAGGGGGGGCTCGGGGCAGGCGGTGACAGCGGCGGCGATAGTGTCGACGACGGCCGGGTGGGTGCTGGTGGACGCCGCTATCCTCCCCACCATCGCTGCTCGGTCCACCGTCCCGTTCATCCTCACCTGATGTCCGGTCAACTCTTATGTAATATTTATGCCTCAGACAGAATATGCAGTTGAAGGGTAATATAATTTTTACATTAATTAAGGTTAATATACGGACTCCAACATAACTGCACCAGGAAGCAGGTGTGTGTTCAGGCGACACAAGAAGGAGGACACATGCACACAGGAGCGGGCTATCTAATTACCCAAAGTCTCCTAGAATTACGTAAGTAGTGAAGAAATACGACATATTTACCCACTATAATGTTGATGCTAAATGTTGAACATGAAAAAACATATTTTTATTCTGAAATAATATAATTTTATGACGAAATTAAAGTGGCAGGTGACACCATAGGAAGTCGACGGTCCGAGCGACATAGTTGAGGAGCAACTTATCTGAAGTATATTGTTGCTCGGAGAGTGTATGATGGCATATCAGCCTCCAGCGCCTAACCTAACCTAACCTTCAGGCAACAATATATCTTTGTCACACACACTCACCAGGACCATAGTGACCACCAAACTTCCCCAGACCTGACATAACTTGTCACACACACTCACCAGGACCATAGTGACCACCAAACTTCCCCAGACCTGACATAACTTGTCACACACACTCACCAGGACCATAGTGACCACTAAACTTCCCCAGACCTGACATAACTTGTCACACACACTCACCAGGACCATAGTGACCACTAAACTTCCCCAGACCTGACATAACTTGTCACACACACTCACCAGGACCATAGTGACCACTAAACTTCCCCAGACCTGACATAACTTGTCACACACACTCACCAGGACCATAGTGACCACCAAACTTCCCCAGACCTGACATAACTTGACACACACACTCACCAGGACCATAGTGACCACCAAACTTCCCCAGACCTGACATAACTTGACACACACACTCACCAGGACCATAGTGACCACCAAACTTCCCCAGACCTGACATAACTTGACACACACACTCACCAGGACCATAGTGACCACCAAACTTCCCCAGACCTGACATAACTTGTCACACACACTCACCAGGACCATAGTGACCACCAAACTTCCCCAGACCTGACATAACTTGTCACACACACTCACCAGGCCGCCAGCAGTCAACACACACCGACGCAGTTGGAGAGCAGCCGCCGTATCATTGGTGATCACTCTGTCCACAATTGTTTCAGGCTGTCCCGACTGGAAAGCAACACCTGAAACATATGAAGGAATTTCCAACACACGTATAGAAATGTATTCGCACGAGAGGGAGAGGGTGTGTCTAGAACACACAAGGAGATATACAGAGATGGCCAGCAGGCGGGAGTGGAGGAAGTACAGAAGACAAAGGACAGAGGACAACTGGATCAGATAAAACAGAGCTAGGAACGATTGCATTAACATGAGACGAACATCGGAAAGGGACTATGAGAACGATATTGCGATCAAAGCGAAAAAGCACAGCCATATAAGAAGAAAAATGTCGGTGAACGACCAAGTGACAAGACTAAGGAAAACAGAGGAGGCATATACTGAAAGTGACAAGGAAATCTGTGAGGCACTGAATGCCAGTTTCCATGGAGTGTTCACTACCGAGCCTGAGCAGCTCCCATTGTTAGAAGAGATTACCCTAGATGAAAGACAATCAGATATAGAGGTGACAGCAGGGGAGGTAATGAAACAGTTGACAACACTGGATGCAACTAAAGCAGTTGAACCAGATAAAGTATCACCGTGGATACTAAAAGAAGCAGCGCAGGCCCTCAGCGTGCCTCTGGCAATGATCTTTAATGAGTCACTTATGTTCAGAGAATTGGCCAGTTGCTGGAAGAAGGCAAATGTCGTACTGATCTTCAAGAAAGGCAATAAGGAGGAGGCACTTAACTATAAACCCGTATCACTGACAAGCATCCCTTGTAAAATACTGGAAAGAATAATTAGGCTACGACTGGTTGCACACCTGGAGAACGTTAGGTTTGTGAACAAACATCAACATGGTTTCTGGAAAGGAAAATCGTGCCTAACAAACCTTTTGCAATTCTATGATAAAATAATGAGGATAAGTCAGGCCAGAGATAGTTGGTCAGACTGCATTTTTTCTGGACTGCCAAAAAGCCTTTGATACAGTACCGCACATGAGACTGCTGTTCAAACTCGAGAGGCAGGCGAGGGTGGGAGGAAAGGTCCTAGCATGGATAAGGAACTACCTGTATGCGTGAATCTGTACACCAGTTGATTGACAGTTGAGAGGCAGGACCAAAGAGCCAAAGCTCAACCTCCACAAGCACAATTAGGTGAGTACCTAATAGGAAGGAGCCAAAGAGTTACGGTAAGGGGCGAGAAGTCGGACTGGCGAACAGCAACAAGTGGAGTACCAAAAGGATGATGCTGGGACCAATTCTATTTCTAGTATATGTTAACAACATGTTTACAGGAGTAGAGTCCTACATGTCGATGTTCGCGGATGACGCAAAGTTGATGAGAAGAGTTGTGACAGATGAGGATTGCAGGATCCTCCAAGAGGACCTCAATAGGTTGCAGAGATGGTCAGAGAAATAGCTACTGGAGTTCAACACGAGCAAATGTAAAGTTATGGAAATGGGACTAGGAGACCAAAGGGACAGTACACAATGAAGGGGAACTCCCTACCTGTGACGTCGTGAGAAAGAGACCTGGGAGTGGACGTAACACCTAATCTAACTCCTGAAGCACATATAAATAGGATAACGACAGCAGCGTACTCTACACTGGCAAAAGTTAGAACATCATTCAGAAACCTAAGTAAGGAGGCATTTAGGGTGCTTTACACTGCCTATGTGGGACCAGTCTTAGAGTATGCCGCGCCATCATGGAGTCCCCATCTGAAGAAGCATATAAGGAAACTGAAAAAGGTTCCGAGGTTTGCAACGAGACTCGTCCCAGAGTTACGAGGGATGGGGTATGAGGAGCGCCTGAAGGAACTGTGCCTTACGACACTAGAAAGAAGAAGGGAGAAGGGGGACATGATAGGAACGTATAAGATACTCAGAGGGATTGACAGAGTGGACATAGACGAAATGTTCACACGTAATAATAACAGAACGAGGGGACATGGGTGGAAGCTGGAAACTCAGATGAGTCACAGAGATGTTAGGAAGTTTTCTTTTAGCGTGAGAGTAGTGGGAAAATGGAATGCACATCAGGAACAGGTTGTGGAAGCAAATACTATTCATAATTTTAAAACTAGGTATGATAGGGAAATGGGACAGGAGTCATTGCTGTAAACAACCGATGCTCGAAAGGCGGGATCCAAGAGTCAATGCTCGATCCTGGAGACACAATTAGGTGAGTACAGATATACAGAATGGGGCCTCACGGCTGAGTGGACAGCGCTCTGGGGTCGTAGTCCTAAGGGCCCGGGTTTGATCCCCGGCAGAGGCAAAAACAAATTGGGCAGAGTGTCTTTTACCCTGGTGCTCTGTTCACCTAGCAGGAAATAGGTACCTGGGCGTTAGAAACCTGCTACGGGCTGCTTCCTGGGGCTGTGTGTGTGTGATAGAGAGAAATATGTACAGTAGTGAACATAATACAGGACAAATACAATTGGTTAGTAAGGCGGGGTCCAAGAGCTAATAGCTTGATTCTGCAGATACATATAGTAAACAGAGTAAGGTAATGTAAAGTAATGAAACTAGGGAGTGTTAGGGAGGGTTGTCAGGACCTGTTAATTAATCACTTCAAGATTAACTTTGTGGTTTAAATGTATAATGTTTTAAACTGTTGCAGGTAACGGGGCCGACCACAGGTGGCGTGGTCTTGGTGCACAACTACGGGGTTGGTGGCGGGAGGTGACAGCCAATCACAGGCCGCCGACCCAGACAGGTCAGGTCGACAGGCCGCCGACCCTGCAGACAGGTCGGGTCGACAAACCGCCGACCCAGACAGGTCGGGTCGACAGGCCGCCGACCCAGGCAGGTCGGGTCGACAGGCCGCCGACCCAGGCAGGTCGGGTCGACAGGCCGCCGACCCAGACAGGTCGGGTCGACAGGCCGCCGACCCAGACAGGTCGGGTCGACAGGCCGCCGACATGAATAGAAAAAAAATAGACAACGCGCACAACCATCAATTAAGGCGTAGTTAATGTTGGGCTTGTAGTCCACAGTGACACAAGTGCTGGGCTTGTAGTCCCTGGTCTTAATGCCTCTCCAGAAACAGGCGACCTTCCAGACTCGGTAAACAACTACTCAGATTCAGATTCAGATTCAGATGTTTATTCAGGTAAGGTATATACATACAAGTGATGTTACATTAATGGATTGATATATAGATAGAGCTAGTACATACAATGCCTAAAGCCACTATTACGCAATGCGTTTCGGGCAAGAAAAACATTAATATCTAGAACTTAATACTAATTGAGCATAAAGAATAAAAAGTGTTGAGAACAAATACAAATAAAGATAAAAAAAGGGGGAACATGACTGAAAAAGCAGCACAAATACAATAGGTTGACAAACAGTGTTGATTAAAAAAAAAAAGAAAATAACAGACATGGGTTGACAATAGAGGAGTGAGGTAGATTACAGGGAATTTATTAGGTAGTGTTTAGTTTTTATCTTTTACTGTCTTTTACTATCTTTTACTGTTGTCCTCATATTCCAGACAGTTGACCAAGAAGCCCTGGTGAACCACCAGAGGCCTCCACCACCTGACTGACGACATATATTAACTTAGACTGAACAATTACCACCAAGAAGCCCTGGTGAACCACCAGAAGCCTCCACCACCTGACTGACGACATATATTAACTTAGACTGAACAATTACCACCAAGAAGCCCTGGTGAACCACCAGAAGCCTCCGCCACCTGACTGACGACATATATTAACTTAGACTGAACAATTACCACCAAGAAGCCCTGGTGAACCACCAGAAGCCTCCACCACCTGACTGACGACATATATTAACTTAGACTGAACAATTACCACCAAGAAGCCCTGGTGAACCACCAGAAGCCTCCACCACCTGACTGACGACATATATTAACTTAGACTGAACAATTACCACCAAGAAGCCCTGGTGAACCACCAGAAGCCTCCACCACCTGACTGACGACATATATTAACTTAGACTGAACAATTACCACCAAGAAGCCCTGGTGAACCACCAGAAGCCTCCACCACCTGACTGACGACATATATTAACTTAGACTGAACAATTACCACCAAGAAGCCCTGGTGAACCACCAGAGGCCTCCACCACCTGACTGACGACATATATTAACTTAGACTGAACCATTACCACCAAGAAGTGTAACTTGAGGCAGGACTCACCAATGACACTGACGACCTGGGTCTTGGGGATGCCCTGGGCGGCGGCACAGTCGAAGACGTCCTTGACGGGGCCGTTCTTGCCCTGGGCCAACTTGGTGACGAGGGCGCACTTGGTGGCCCTGACCATGCAGGTGCCAGGGCCCAGGGCCCCACACGCCGGGTCCCCGCCGCCACCACCTGTCGCCACACACAACACTGCTACACCCGCCATCCTCCTCCTGGCCTTACTCAGTGTTCTCTTATACACACATTAACGTGTCAACATTACTGACAATACTGAACATTATTACTGCTGGTACAGGCACCTGTGATGGCAGGTTAGCTACTACCTGGTATATGGTACAGGTGGTACTACCTGGTATATGGTATAGGTGGTACTACCTGGTATATGTTACAGGAGGTAGTACCTGGTATATGGCACAGGTGGTACTACCTGGTATATGGTATAGGTGGTACTACCTGGTATATGTTACAGGAGGTAGTACCTGGTATATGGTACAGGTGGTAGTACCTGGTATATGGTACAGGACGCAGTACCTGGTATATTGTACAGGAGGTAGTACCTGGTATATGGTACAGGTGGTACTACCTGGTATATGGTACAGGTGGTACTACCTGGTATATGGTACAGGTGGTACTACCTGGTATATGGTACAGGAGGTAGTACCTGGTATATGGTACAGGTGGTACTACCTGGTATATGGTACAGGTGGTACTACCTGGTATATGGTACAGGAGGTAGTACCCGGTATATGGTACAGGAGGTAGTACCTGGTATATGGTACAGGAGGTAGTACCTGGTATATGGTACAGGTGGTAGTACCTGGTATATGGTACAGGAGGTAGTACCTGGTATATGGTACAGGAGGTAGTACCTGGTATATGGTACAGGAGGTAGTACCTGGTATATGGTACAGGAGGTAGTACCTGGTATATGGTACGGGAGGTAGTACCTGGTATATGGTACAGGAGGTAGTACCTGGTATATGGTACAGGTGGTAGTACCTGGTATATGGTACAGGAGGTAGTACCTGGTATATGGTACAGGAGGTAGTACCTGGTATATGGTACAGGAGGTAGTACCTGGTATATGGTACAGGAGGTAGTACCTGGTATATGGTACAGGTGGTAGTACCTGGTATATGGTACAGGAGGTAGTACCTGGTATATGGTACAGGAGGTAGTACCTGGTATATGGTACAGGAGGTAGTACCTGGTATATGGTACAGGAGGTAGTACCTGGTATATGGTACAGGAGGTAGTACCTGGTATATGGTACAGGAGGCAGTACCTGGTATATGGTACAGGAGGTAGTACCTGGTATATGGTACAGGAGGTAGTACCTGGTATATGGTACAGGAGGTAGTACCTGGTATATGGTACAGGTGGTAGTACCTGGTATATGGTACAGGAGGTAGTACCTGGTATATGGTACAGGAGGTAGTACCTGGTATAAGGTACAGGAGGCAGTACCTGGTATATGGTACAGGAGGTAGTACCTGGTATATGGTACAGGAGGTAGTACCTGGTATATGGTACAGGAGGTAGTACCTGGTATATGGTACAGGTGGTAGTACCTGGTATATGGTACAGGAGGTAGTACCTGGTATATGGTACAGGAGGTAGTACCTGGTATAAGGTATAAGAGGCAGTACCTGGTATAAGGTATAAGAGACAGTACCAGGTATAAGGGGTAGTACTGGTATAAGGCAGTACCTGGTATAAGGTATAAGAGACAGTACCAGGTATAAGGGGTAGTACCTGGTATAAGGTATAAGGCAGTACCTGGTATTAGGTATAAGAGACAGTACCTGGTATAAGGTAGCAGCTGGTATAAGGTATAAGAGGCAGTACCCGGTATAAGGTATAAGAGGCAGTACCTGGTATAAGGTAGCAGCTGGTATAAGGTATAAGAGGCAGTACCCGGTATAAGGTATAAGAGGCAGTACCTGGTATAAGAGACAGTACCTGGTATAAGGTATAAGAGCCAGTACCTGGTATAAGGTATAAGGGGCAGTACCCGGTATAAGGTATAAGAGCCAGTACCTGGTATAAGGTATAAGAGGTAGTACCTGGTATAAGGTATAAGAGGTAGTACCTGGTATAAGGTATAAGAGCCAGTACCTGGTATAAGGTATAAGAGGCAGTACCCGGTATAAGGTATAAGGGGCAGTACCTAGTATAAGGTATAAGAGACAGTACCTGGTATAAGGTATAAGAGACAGTACCTGGTATAAGGTATAAGAGGCAGTACCCGGTATAAGGTATAAGAGGCAGTACCTGGTATAAGGTATAAGAGGCAGTACCCGGTATAAGGTATAAGAGACAGTACCTGGTATAAGGTATAAGAGACAGTACCTGGTATAAGGTATAAGAGACAGTACCTGGTATAAGGTATAAGAGGCAGTACCTGGTATAAGGTATAAGAGGCAGTACCCGGTATAAGGTATAAGAGCCAGTACCTGGTATAGCAGGAGCGGAGGCCGTGAGGAACAAGGCTGCCACAAGGATCACTACTGGTGCTCCGCCCTCCATGGTCACCACACACAGGGGACAACAGCTGCCACTAGAATATAACACACTATAAGGGGGAATATAAGGCAAAATATAAGTAAATATATGAGTAAGATTCGCGGGCGAGCGAGTCCGTGTTGGCGGAGGTGTCAACCCTCACTGTATTAGTCCGGGGCGTGTCCTGTGTTATATATCCCCCCTGACCACACCTCCTGCCCTCCCGCCTGACCACACCTCCTGCCCGCCCTCCTGACCACACCTCCTGCCCGCCCTCCTGACCACACCTCCTGCCCGCCCTCCTGACCACACCTCCTGCCCGCCCTCCTGACCACACCTCCTGCCCTCCCTCCTGACCACACCTCCTGCCCTCCCTCCTGACCACACCTCCCGCCCTCCCTCCTGACCACACCTCCTGCCCGCCCCCCTGACCACACCTCCTGCCCGCCCTCCTGACCACACCTCCTGCCCGCCCTCCTGACCACACCTCCTGCCCGCCCTCCTGACCACACCTCCTGCCCGCCCTCCTGACCACACCTCCTGCCCGCCCTCCTGACCACACCTCCTGCCCGCCCTCCTGACCACACCTCCTGCCCGCCCTCCTGACCACACCTCCTGCCCGCCCTCCTGACCACACCTCCTGCCCTCCTGACCCTCCTGACCACACCTCCTGCCCGCCCTCCTGACCACACCTCCTGCCCGCCCTCCTGACCACACCTCCTGCCACGCCCTCCTGACCACACCTCCTGCCCGCCCTCCTGACCACACCTCCTGCCCGCCCTCCTGACCACACCTCCTGCCCGCCCTCCTGACCACACCTCCTGCCCGCCCTCCTGACCACACCTCCTGCCCTCCCCCCTGACCACACCTCCTGCCCGCCCTCCTGACCACACCTCCTGCCCGCCCTCCTGACCACACCTCCTGCCCGCCCCTCCTGACCACACCTCCTGCCCGCCCTCCTGACCACACCTCCTGCCCGCCCTCCTGACCACACCTCCTGCCCTCCCCCCTGACCACACCTCCTGACCACGCCCTCCTGACCACACCTCCTGCCCGCCCTCCTGACCACACCTCCTGACCACACCTCCCTCCTGACCACACCGCCTGCCCGCCCTCCTGACCACACCTCCTGCCCTCCCTCCTGACCACACCTCCTGCCCGCCCTCCTGACCACACCTCCTGCCCGCCCTCCTGACCACACCTCCTGCCCTCCCTCCTGCCCTCCCTCCTGACCACACCTCCTGCCCTACCCCCTGACCACACCTCCTGCCCTACCCCCTGACCACACCTCCTGCCCTCCCTCCTGACCACACCTCCTGCCCTACCCCCTGACCACACCTCCTGCCCTACCCCCTGATCACACCTCCTGCCCTCCCTCCTGACCACACCTCCTGCCCTCCCTCCTGACCACACCTGCCCTACCCCCTGACCACACCTCCTGCCCTACCCCCTGACCACACCTCCTGCCCTACCCCCTGACCACACCTCCTGCCCTCCCTCCTGACCACACCTCCTGCCCTCCCTCCTGACCACACCTCCTGCCCTCCCTCCTGACCACACCTCCTGCCCTCCCTCCTGACCACACCTCCTGCCCGCCCTCCTGACCACACCTCCTGACCCACCCTCCTGACCACACCTGCTCTCCCCCTGACCACACCTGACCACACTCCTGACCACACCTCCTGACCACACCCCTGACCACAAATGCCCTCCCTCCTGACCACACCTGCCCTACCTCCTGACCACACCTGCCCGCCCTCCTGACCACACCTGCCCTCCGTCCTGACAACACCTCCTGCCCTCCCTCCTGACCACACCTCCTGCCCACACCCCTGACCACACCTCCTGCCCTCCCTCCTGACCACACCTCCTGCCCACCCCCCTGACCACACCTCCTGACTCACCCCTGACCACACCTGCCCTCCCTCCTGACCACACCTCCTGCCCACACCCTCCTGACCACACCTGCCCGCCCCCCTGACCACACCTCCTGCCCTCCCCCCTGACCACACCTCCTGACCACACCCCTCCTGACCACACCTCCTGCCCTCCCTCCTGACCACACCTCCTGACCACACCCCCTGACCACACCTCCTGCCCTCCCTCCTGACCACACCTCCTGCCCCCTCCTGACCACACCTCCTGCCCTCCCTGACCACACCTCCTGCCCTGACACACCTGCCCTCCCTCCTGACCACACCTCCTGCCCTCCCTCCTGACCACACCTCCTGCCCTCCCTCCTGACCACACCTCCTGCCCTCCCACCACACCTCCTGCCCTCCCTCCTGACCACACCTCCTGCCCTCCCTCCTGACCACACCTCCTGCCCTCCCTCCTGACCACACCTGCCCTCCCTCCTGACCACACCTCCTGACCACCACACCTCCTGCCCTCCCTCCTGACCACACCTCCTGCCCTCCCTCCTGACCACACCTCCTGCCCTCCCTCCTGACCACACCTCCTGCCCTCCCCCCTGACCACACCTCCTGCCCTCCCTCCTGACCACACCTCCTGCCCTCCCTCCTGACCACACCTCCTGCCCTCCCCTCCTGACCACACCTCCTGCCACCCTCCTGCCCTCCCTCCTGACCACACCTCCTGCCCTCCCTCCTGACCACACCTCCTGCCCTCCCTCCTGACCACACCTCCTGCCCTCCCCCCTGACCACACCTCCTGCCCCTGACCCCCTGACCACACCTCCTGCCCTCCCCCACCTCCTGACCACACCTCCTGCCCTCCCTCCTGACCACACCTGACCACACCTCCTGACCACACCTCCTGACCCTGACCACCACCCACCTGCCCTCCCTCCTGACCACACCCTCCTGACCACACCTCCTGCCCTCCCCTCCTGACCACACCTCTGCCTGACCACACCTCCCCCTCCCTCCTGACCACACCCCTGCCCTCCCTCCTGACCACACCTCCTGACCACACCCCCTCCTGACCACACCTCCTGCCCTCCCTCCTGACCACACCTCCTGCCCTCCCTCCTGACCACACCTCCTGCCCTCCCCCCTGACCACACCTCCTGCCCTCCCCCCTGACCACACCCTGCCCTCCCTCCTGACCACCCCCCTGACCACACCTCCTGCCCTCCCTCCTGACCACACCTGCCCTGCCCCTCCACACCTCCTGACCACACCTCCTGCCCTCCCTCCTGACCACACCTCCTGCCCTCCCTCCTGACCACACCCTCCTGCCCTCCCTCCTGACCACACCTCCTGCCCTCCCCCCTGACCACACCTCCTGCCCTCCCCCCTGACCACACCTCCTGCCCTCCCTCCCACACCTGACCACACCTCCTGCCCTCCCTCCTGACCACACCTCCTGCCCTCCCTCCTGACCACACCTCCTGACCCACCCTCCTGACCACACCTCCTGCCCTCCCCCCTGACCACACCTCCTGCCCTCCCCCCCTGACCACACCTCCTGCCCACCCCCCTGACCACACCTCCTGCCCACCCCCCTGACCACACCTCCTGCCCTCCCCCCTGACCACACCTCCTGCCCTCCCCCCTGACCACACCTCCTGCCCTCCCCCCCTGACCACACCTCCTGACCCTCCCCCCTGACCACACCTCCTGCCCTCCCTCCTGACCACACCCTCCTGACCCACCTCCTGCCCCTGACCACACCTCCTGCCCTCCCCCCTGACCACACCTCCTGACCACACCCACCTGACCCTCCCCCCTGACCACACCTCCTGCCCTCCCCCCTGACCACACCTCCTGCCCACCCCCCTGACCACACCTCCTGCCCTCCCTCCTGACCACACCTCCTGCCCTCCCCCTCCTGACCACACCTCCTGACCCACCCCCTGACCACACCCCTGCCCTCCCCCCTGACCACACCTCCTGCCCTCCCCCCTGACCACACCTCCTGCCCTCCCCCCTGACCACACCTCCTGACCCCCCTGACCACACCTCCTGCCCTCCCCCCTGACCACACCTCCTGCCCACCCTCCTGACCACACCTCCTGCCCTCCCCCCTGACCACACCTCCTGCCCTCCCCCCTGACCACACCTCCTGCCCTCCCTCCTGACCACACCTCCTGACCACACCCCTCCTGACCACACCCTGCCCTGACCTGACCACCCTGACCACACCTCCTGACCACACCTCCCCCCCTGACCACACCTCCTGCCCTCCCCCCTGACCACACCTGACCACACCTCCTGCCCTCCCCCCTGACCACACCTCCTGCCCACCCCCCTGACCACACCTCCTGCCCTCCCCCCTGACCACACCTCCTGCCCACCCCCCCTGACCACACCTCCTGCCCTCCCTCCTGACCACACCTCCTGCCCTCCCTCCTGACCACACCTCCTGCCCACCCTCCTGACCACACCTCCTCTGACCACACCTGACCACACCTCCTGCCCACCCTCCTGACCACACCTCCTGCCCACCCCCCCTGACCACACCCTCCTGACCCACCCCCCTGACCTCCTGACACCTCCTGCCCTCCCTCCTGACCACACCTCCTGCCCACCCCCTGACCACACCTCCTGCCCTCCCTCCTGACCACACCTCCTGACCACTCCCTCCTGACCACACCTCCTGACCACCCCCCTGACCACACCCCGCCCTCCTGACCACACCCCTGCCCACACCTGACCACACCTCCTGCCCACCCTCCTGACCACACCTCCTGCCCACCCCTCCTGACCACACACCCGCCTCCTGACCACACCTCCTGACCCTCACTCCTGACCACACCTCCTGCCCACACCCCTGACCACACCTCCTGACCTCACCACACCTCCTGCCCACACCCACCTCCTGCCCACCCCCTGACCTGACCACCCTCCTGACCACACCTCCTGACCCTCCTCCTGACCACACCCTCCTGACCCACCCTCCTGACCACACCTCCTGACCCTCACCTCCTGACCACACCTCCTGCCCTCCCTCCTGACCACACCCTGCCCTGCCCCTGACCACCCTCCTGACCACACCCTCCTGCCCTCCCTCCTGACCACACCCTGCCCACACCTCCTGCCCACCCCCCTGACCACACCCCTGACCACCCTCCTGACCACACCTCCTGCCCTCCCTCCTGACCACACCTCCTGCCCTCCCCCCTGACCACACCTCTGACCACACCCCCCTGACCACACCTCCTGCCCTCCCCCCTGACCACACCTCCTGACCACACCTCCTGAC